TATAAATGCAGCTGTCTTTCCTGTTCCAGACTGGCTCTGTGCTATGAGGTTCTGGGGTCTGTAGAAAAGAGAAGACCACTGGGCATAAACTGAATACAAGAGTGTGGACATAAACTGAAAATAAGAAACTAAATATAACCAAGTTAGAATATCACTACCCTGGAAACTCACGGATGTGCCAGCATCATAGGGAGAGCCATCTCTTGGATTTTGGATGGCCTATTAAAGCCCATTGCATAGATTCCTTTTAGTAATTCTTCCTTTCTGGTAAAAAAAAAAAAATCAACCACAGCTTATTATAGATGGTCAGTAGCATCAGAAATACAGATCCGAAAGGTGCATTTCTAAAATATATCATTCATACCTCAACTTCCAAACATAAACAATCATGCCTGCAGAGGTGGGCCACTAAAATGATAAGCTATGCCATAAGCCTAGGTGAAGGACAGTGGTAAGGGCCTTAAGCTGAACCTTCTGTTGAACAAAGCAAAATAGGAAAACCTCATCTGATAAAAAGAATACATCTGTTTGCCAAGAGTTATATTTTCTGCCTAAGCAGAAAACTAAGTGACATTTACTGTTTAGTTCCTTTTCACAAATGATATTGATGTTTTTAACAGTAATTTTCAGAGAAGACAAATTTTTATTTAGGCAATTATTATATCAGTTCTTTCTAAGAGTACAAGACACAATATTACTTTATCCTTCTGAGGCAGTATTTTAAAATGCAGCTTTCTTGAGGTTCTTAAGAAATATGACAGAATGAGGATAAAGCAAGTGGGCTGGAACACCTCCACCTTTAATGACATGCACATTTCTGTGTGTTTAATTGGTGGATGACTGGCAGCCCATCTTAAATCATGGGTAGGCTTCTTCTACTATTTAGAAAATGTCTGGGTGATAGGATTTTGGATTTTTACCCTTTACATAAGTAGGTTTCAGTACTTTTCTTTCTGTTAAAATACTTTTTTTTTTTTAAAGCGTCAAATGATAAATCCCTAGGGAATGATGCAAACCCATTTGGGAAAGTTATTCAGTTTAATATCATTTGAAACAAAATATAATCAGGAAAGTAAAAGCTTGTAATTTATCTATAGTGAGTGAAGGAGGATGTCTGGTTCATCAGAATCTGGGTTCTGATACAGAGAGTGGCAATCTGGCTGTGCCTAGCTTAGCTATCTATCCCCTGAGCACTGCAGGAGGAAAGTATCTTACTATCAAAAATATTCACAATTTACCAGGCAACTTGGATATCCTAATGTTCTTCTTTAGAACACCTTTAAAAAAGACACACACACACACACACACACACACACACACACACACACTTTTTTGAGACGGAGTCTCACTCCTTCACCCAGGCTGGAGTGTAATGGTGTGATCTTGGCTCACTGCAACTTGTCTCCTGGGTTCAAGTGAGTCTCCTGTGTCAACCTCCTGAATAGCTGGGATTACAGGCTAGCGCCACCAGGCCTGGCTAATTTTTATATTTTTAGTAGAAACAGTGTTTCTCTATGTCTGCCAGGCTGGTCTCAAACTCCTGACCTCAGGTGATCTGCCCTCTTAGGCCTCCCAAATTGTTGAGATTATAGGCATGAGCCACTGCGTCTGGCTTGAGCTGTATTTTGATTGCATGAAAAATGTACAAATCTCATTTTAATACTGAATATTAAAACAAAAATTAACTGGGTGTGGTGGCACAGGCCTATAGTCCCAGCTACCCGGGAGGTTGAGGCAGAATTGTTTGAACTTGCAAGGCGGAGGTGCGGTGAGCCGAGATCGTGCCACTGCACTCCAGCCTGGATGACAGAGTGAGACTCTGTCTCAAAAAAACAAAAACAAAATATCAGAAAACAAAGAGGAGAGCCTGTTTTTATTATAGCAGATTCGTTTGTTCTGTGCCTTTCAGCATTTTTCCCATATTAAAAGAGTAAAAATACTCACAGCCGCAGCTCTTCAAATGTTTTTACTGAGTAAAGTGGAGAGCTGGGATCCTTCTGTAAAACTTCCACGTGGTGACTGGATTCTACTAAGGATTGACGGATTAACTTGTTTAAGAGTGAATTGGCTGCCAAATCCACTAGAAAAGCAAAAATAAAAAAGAGGACATCAAGCTTCCTGAATGACATCAAATAAGTTGCTCTTCCTCTTTCAGTGGCTGTATACCAAGCAACTGCACCTGTGCTCATCTTTCCTCTAAAAGAACGTTCCAGAAAGAATGAGATAGCACTGAGAATCCCTTCTTTATGAGGATTCAGTTTCTTATGCACTGGTACTTCACCATCCTCTAACTTCAAAGTAGCCTAAATCCATCTCCATGAAAGCAAATTCTTGACAGCTGGAAATTCTTAACCCAAATAAATCCCTGCATATTCCATTTCAACTTCCTTTAAATAAATACAACCTACTCATAATTTAATGTGTCTCCTGATAGTCACTATAAGAAAATAGAAGCAAAGACAGGTCTTTTCCAATTGAGACTACATTATTCACTCACACTATTAAAGTTATAAATGGAAAAAGAATGCTAGTAGATACATGCAAATAAATTTATCTCCTACCTACATCTTCTTCATCATCTTCTTCGATGTTATTAATAGAACCATCTGGAAAGGATGGAAGAGAAACAATACATGTAAAGACAAACGATGAGCAGAAACGTAAAGCATATGATTCAATTTTTTTCTTCCTGACTCTTCAGTGTCTACTGGCAAGAACAGTCATTTCATGGAGGAGTGGGTAACATGATGGGGAAGGTAATGGAGAGCGTTAAATGTTCCACTAAAGAACGAGGGTATTTCACTTGGCAGGAATGTGATAAAAGCAACGCAATAATTTTTAATTCATTGAGGCCATCTGCTTTGCCCTAACAGCACTCACCTATGTTTCGGGCTGTAGTACTCTTGATACCCCGAAGGTTCTTCCGGGGGTGGTTGAGGTTTGAAAACTATTGAGAGAAACAAATTTCAGCCAATATTAAGATGCAAGCCCTCAAGCAGCCCAGTGCGTCCCTACCACAGGGGCTGGACGGGATTCAGGGAAGCAAACCGGGGTACTGTTTCCTTTGCAATATTAGGTAGCAGCAGATTCCTTTCGGAGTTGGGTCTCCTGTATGAATCATCCTAAAATTGGAGATTTTCTGTATTCCCTGTACATGAAGTTTCTCTTTCCTAGGCCTCTAGTTTAGAGTTGGGCAGTACTTGGGGTTCACAGCACCAACCAGGGCACAGTGGCTAGGAAAGTGCGCTGGCAGATAGATGGAAGCGAGCTGAGGCTTAAGGATCAAATAGGCAGAGTAGAAAACGCAGGGTCTAACTGGGACTACCAACTGCGCTCCCACCCTGGATTTCCAGGGGTCTTCATTTTGCCCTTTATAATCAAAGGTCTTGCCTCTCGCGGGGGTGGGGACGGGGTCTCCTTCTGTGGCCCTCTTTCAAACCCTTCCCACATCTCCCCTCCAGCATCTGAACACCCCACTTCGAACGCTCGCGGGCTCTCCCTCCCCTCCCAGCTAATCTCCCTCTGCGAGTGGGTGCTCCACCCCCGCGGCTGTGCCCCCCGGCTCGGTGGCGGTTACGTGGCTGCTCAGCCGCTCGCTCTCCGCCGCCCCCGCGTCTCCTCCCCACAGTAACGACGCCATGGCTGCGATCACTGCGATCGCTGCTCCCGCCCCCAGCACGTGCTTTTCCCACAGGCGCGAGGCGGCACCGGCCCCATCCGCCGGCCAATGGGCTTCCTCAGCCGGCAGGCGTTCGAGCCCGCGACCACCGCGGTGCGGCGCGCAGGCGCTGGAGGGCGGGGTAAGGCGCTCCAGAGGGCGGAGGGGGCGCGGAGTGGCACAGGGGGCGTGGAGGGGGTGCGAAAGCGGCGTGGAGAGCTGGCGGCCTGGGCGCGGCCGGAGGCGGGCAGTGCTGTGTGGCTGCGCGCGGTTTTGGGGTGCCCGCCCCACGTCCGCGCTCGGCTTGGGCGTCTGGCCGCTGCTGAGCCGGGTGCGAGCCGCTGCAGACTCCGCACTGAGTGGGGAGCGCCCCCGCCCGCGTCCTGCCGCGCACGCCGCACTCCAGGCGGGAGCCCCCCGGACTCCCCACAGCGCTTTCCGCCCCCTGCCCGTTTCCCCGGAAATTTCCGCCTTCGCATCACGAGATGTCAGAAAGGTTAGCGAATTGCTTAGGAAAGTGAGGACAACATCTGATGAATTTGATAGGACGAATGGCCTCGAACGCCACAGTTGGCGGAAAGGAAGCAGAGCTGTTCCGACTTCTAACTGCGGTTCCTGTGATGTTCCACATAGGCGTTTTAAAACTTTAATTCCGAAATGTGGTCTCCTGTGAAATACATTTCCATTCGGTATAACCTCTACATCCTACATGCGTGTGCATAATCCAGGATAGATCCCTGGATCCCTGCTCGTAATGACTTAATGACTGCTCAATTTGGACGAAAGAACCAAATTCCACCTTCTTCCTCCCCCCAATTTCATAACTGTAATTTTGAGATTTGGGTCAGCATTTCTGGAATTGGGGGCAAAAATGCAAAAACCCGCAAACGAAACTGCAGTCATGATCTCTCCGTGGTGCTGAAGCAACTCTCCCCAGCTGTGTTCGGTCACTCTCAGGGCTCTTGGTCGCTTGTTTTGAGATTATCATATTCATTTCAGCTTTTAATTTAGATTCCAACAGTAAGTGTTTTGGTCTCTCAGTGGTAACTTTCTTGTTTAAGTAGGTACAAAATCGAGGCAAGATCTTCAATCTTTTAGTTTTCCTGTAAGGATAGCAGACATTTGAAAAATTATCTCTATTTTATTATAGCGTAGCACTAGAATTCCTCCTTTTATTGCTGTCCTGCCGCAGGCCCAGATTCTCCCTTGTGGGTGGAGAAACGATAGCTGTACTAGAAAACCCGAGGTGAATTCTAGCACCAAGCTCTGTTCTCAGAACTACATTTCCCACAACCATGGACTACACCCCCCATGAAGCCTCTGGAGCGTGCGCAGAAGACGCACAGTAACAGCTTCCTGTCTCGGAAACGCTGCGCGGCCGCTTACCGGAAAGTAAGTGTGGGCTCTTTAGGGTGGGTTAATTTCTGGGTTCCGCAGGGGAAGGGACAAACGGACACAGTGCTGAACGATTGTCTTTTTGCCCTCTTACATACACTTTGGTCTTTTCAGGACAGCATTGGTGTATGGAAATGAGACCTCGCTTAAGACCATGTCTTTCTTTTGTGTCTGGTACTTTCTGGAGCTCACGGCGGAAACTCGCAGCTGTAGGGACGTCTTTAATTCCATTGTGACCGGAGCTTCCGTGGCCCTTGGACTGTAGTGTGCAAAAGTGCTCTGCTGCCCCACTTAGAATTGGTGCTCATAAAACTAAACAGTGGTAGAAGTTGAGATCCCAAGAATATGTGGGAGGCTGTGCAGCAATTTTGGAATTATTTTGCTTTTTAGTGATCATAGTGCGTGCCCACGAATCGTTTGGACAGTGCTCCCTCTTCTTCCCTTTGTATTAATACGAAGTTTATCAAGAGGAATGCTGTTTTTGTTAACCAACTGGTTCCTGACAGTAGGACTTTTTTTTTTTTTTTTTGAGACTGTTTCCCAGGCTGAGTGCAGTGGCATGATCACTGCCCACTGCAGCCTCGACCTCCTGGGCTCAAACGATGCCCCCCACCTCAGTCTCCGAGTAGCTGGGGCTGTGGGCGCGCGCCATCGTGGCAGACTAGTTTTAGATTTTTTTTTTTTTTTTTTTTTTTTTTTTTTTTTTTTTTTTTTTTTGTAGAGACGGTCTCGCTGTGTTGCCCAGGCTGCTCTTGAATTGCTGGCCTCAAGCGGTCCTCCCCGTCTTTGCTATCAAAATGTTGGGATGACAGGCGTGAGCCACGGCTCCTGGCCCAATGTATGGAACATCTGGTGATGGCTGTTTTAGTTTGTAATTGATGCTTAGGGTACACAGGAATTCCCTCTTTGTGGTCACTTGGTAGCCCTGGCCAAGGTGTTACCATAAACGTCTGCTTGGGAACTACTGCACTTCACCCTGAAGGTGGGTAAGGTGTGCTGGAAAAAAACACTATAGTGTACAAAGTCTTGTTTTTGCCACAAATCTGCCTTAAGACCAGCCTGACTCACTCCCTGGCTTAGTTCTTTAGCTAGCAGGGGGGGTTGAACTAGGTAACTTTGGAGGCTGATTTTGGTAATACTGAACTTTGAGATCTAAATAAATCATTGGAGTGTTCTGCAAGTTAAAATCACCGTATAATTTTTGACCTCATAAAAAGCCAATGTGTAAATACAAATTACCTTTAATCTCACTGCTCAAGAGTTAGGTTTTGGATCTTTCCCTGTTAACTGAGATCATGCTGTACAGTTTATGATACATTCATCTAATTTTCACCTTCCCAAGATTCCCATTGACTATTTAATATTCTAATATCTTTAAAGACATTACTATTCCACTGTTGGAAGACAGTTTGCAGCTTCTACTTATTTGCAGTGAGTATATCCTACACCTATGAGTCATTGATTACTTATTTTCCTTAGCAAATAGAACTATACTTAGCAAATAGAACTGGGTGAATGTGTGAATTATGTGGCTTTAAATGTTATAGGGAAAATGATTTTCACAGATAGTAAGGGTCAGTCATTCACGTTTATGTTAGTGCTCTTCTCCATGAACAAGCAAACTATGCCATCGTTCTGGCCTCCAGTGTTAAAACTGACAACTTTCAGATTTTACGTGGTCCTCATTGGGTTAGAAATACCAAGAACAGATAAATTCCAGTTTAAGGTGAGCAGAATTCATATTTTAATCTGCACTCAAATAGGCTAGATTAATTTAGGTATTTATGTTTGCATCTGATTCCAGATGTTACTAGTTTGAAATTCTACTGGAGTAGGAATAGCCTTCCAAGTGACGCATTAATTCCTACAAAAATCTCAGGAGCAAATTATAAAAAGCGTGGTATTCCAGAAATAACAGCTGACAGGCAAAATATTATTGAAATGATTCTGAAGTAAAACAATTTTGAATCCTGTTATATGGTACTGTTTTGGGGTTTATTAAAAAGTCGTTTAAAGCTACTTGGATTTGTTGCATACCTTTAGTAATGACGGCTATCTATGTTGTTACCTCTCTCCTATCCTTTAGGACTGTGTAACAGGCAGGTTTTTGTTTCTTTTGAGCTTTCATCACAGCTCAGGGTCAAGATCATCTTAGGGAAGTATTTAATGAAACAATATTCAAGTTCATGAATTTCCAAAATTCTTTAATTGATAAATGTAATGCCCAGCAACTTAAAAAACAAACATAAAAGCACAGCAACTCACATTGGCCATAGGTAAAAAAGGTTATAGGACACAAAGGGCCCTTACTGATTTGGCAAAATACTAATTTGACAAAACAGAAAGACCAGGTCTGTTTTTCTTTCTCTGATTTATCTTGCAATTGCTGGATTTGAGTGTTAATTTGGAAGTTTTATATGATACCAATGTGATATACAGCTAGGAAAGACCAGTGATAGGTGAAGTCCTTACTGTAAAATGTTCTATGAGCTTTTCAAGTCAGTTGTTTCTATTTAAAAGGAAAGATAAAAAGAGCCAGGTTATCTCAAACAATCCTGTGAAAGAAGACAGTTTAAAAAAGATTTAAGGAGGAGATTGAGGGAAGGGAAGCTTCCTGGGTATGATACCATTTGCAAGGTCACAACGAATACCCCAACGGAGTGCAGACCTTTTCTTCTCTGTTGGTACTAGGTAATTGTTCGGGACATATATGTGCTGAGGTTTGGGTTGGGGCTCTGCTCGGCAGAGCATCTGCTCTCGGACACCCCAGCGTAATTCCTTCCTATGATCTTCACCAGGTAAGCGCATTGAGTCCCAGTCCCGTTTGTACTCAAAATACCGGGCTACCCGGTCTGTCTTGCCCCGGTTTCGGCTTAACTGGTCCAGCCTTGGGAGAATAACGGACTTGGGTCTGCTGGCAACAATCAGGTCTTGTTCGTAAGCTGGAGAGCCCATTCCTTCTTTTTGTAGAGAGCAAATGAGCTGATCTTGAGAAATTCCTTGGTATTCATGTGGTGGATTAAATTTTTGCGAAATATCAAATGAGGATTCCCTGTCTTCCTCGAACTGCACATTCATCAGTCTTTGTCTTAAGTCCCAGAGACCCTGATCATTTTCTGTACCAGATTCTGATTCACTGATAATCGACTCATCTGTCACTAATACTTCCCCATCTGGCTTTCTACGCAGCACCTTTCTCTTCATCACTGGCTTTCGGAGTCTTTGGGAGGCCTCAGAGACTGTTTCTGAAGTGATACTACTTTCTACACGTGGGTACTGTAGTTGCACAGGAAGAGTAGGTCGCTTCCCTGGGGCTACTGAAGCTTTACTGTAGGGATCATATTGGATAGATTGGGCTTCTCTCCTGACATCTCCTTTACCCTGTCCTGCATAGATGTGGGTTAAAGCTGCAGCAGCTGCCAACATTTGCTCTTCTGGATCCATACTGGCCCATTTTTGTCCATCAGGTGCAAGTTGTTTCATTGCTTTCCTACACTGTAGGACCTTCTGCAAGAGATAACATCGGTCAGTTTTCCAATAATAAATTCCCAACTCATAAATTGCTGATTCCCTTATCTCCATTTTATAGCAGTCAAATGGAGAAAGAATGGCAAAGGCAATCATAAATTCAATACCAGGTAGTATAAGAACAGTTTAGAGGGGCATTAACTCAGTTCCAGGGAATCTGTTACCTGCTTTCATTTCCACTCTTATTTCTGCTTTCTCCTGTCTTGCCACCTTTAGTAGGTCCTGAAACAGGACAGTTTAGTTCTGGCATAAGAAAAGCTTGAAACTACATGATATGGGGCATACCACTTAATGTGTATCATGTAACAGGTTACTCAGGGGGTGCTTTATGTGCCTGCCGTTGTTCTACATGCTTTACATTTATTCATGTAATTTTCAGCTGTGGGATTATCTCCTTTTCACAGATGAATACATAGGGCACAGAGAAGTTAAATAACTTGCTCGAGGTTATTCGGCTAGTAAGTGGTGGAACTGGAATTCTAACTCAGGTTGGCTTCAGAGTGAGTCCCAGCTTTTAACCATTAAAAAGTGATTTGATCTAAAAAAAAAATCAAAAGCAGTGTTCTCTCTCACACACATACAATGTGTATATATATGCATACATATAATTTCTATGCTTTAGTAATTTGAATGCATCTTCAGTTGCTGGCTAAATCTGTTCATTCTAGTGTCTGAAATAACTTAGTACTCACATCCATCAGCCAAATACCCAATGCTAGTTTCCTAACTGAATCTGAGATAGGCATCTGCTGTCCACTATTTCCTGTGTCCCTACTATTTTTCTTTTTAAACTGAAGAACTAATACATGCAATGATAATTTTAAGCAAGGATTTTTCCCTCTCCCACCAAGTTTTACTCTCAAAAGCAATTTCTTATGACTTCTCCAGAAATTTTCCATATTCACATGTACACTTTTTTATACCATAAAGGAGAACAATATACAACTCTTCTGAACCTTAAAGATAACAGTTATCCAGCTATGTAAGCATAGGCTGAGGTTTATTTTATGCTGCACAGAATTCCAGTGTATCAATGTATCATACATTTATTCAGCCATTCCCTTACTGATTACTGATGTAATTTAGATTTATAGGTCTACTAATGTTAACAAGAGTATTTTGTAAGTTGCTACTTATTTGGCAAGCATATGAATGGGTTAAATTTCTAGACATGGGAGAAGTAGGCCAAAAGTTGACAGCTGCTGCCAAAATGTTTACCTCCAAAGAAGCTGTACTGACCACGTATTAACCATGTTTCTCTAGTCCCTCTCCAAAGTGGCATACTATCAAACTGCCTTTGTAGTCAGTTCCTTAAAAAATAGTTCTCATATCCTTTTGCCATTTATTTCAGCTGAGTGGAAGTGAGCATTTAAAAATATTTTAGGCTGGGCACAGTGTCTCATGCCTGTAATCCCAGCACTTTGGGAGGCCAAGGCAGGTGGATCACTTGAGGTCATGAGTTGGAGTCCAACCTGACCAACATGGAGAAACCCTGTCTCTGCTAAAAATTTAAAAAATTAGCCAGGCGTGGTGGCACATGCCTGTAATCCCAACTACTCGGGAGGCTGAGGCAGGAGAATTGCTTGAACCGGGGAGGTGAAGGTTGTGGTGAGCCGAGATTGCGCCATTGCACTCCAGCCTGGGCAACAAGAGTGACACTCCATCTCAAAAAAAATAAAAAATAAAAATTTTATAAGCTTTTTTCTTTTTGTTTGAAATGCTTGGTCTTTGCCTGTTTGACTCTCAGGTTGCTGGATTTTTTTTCTTACTTTTTCATTAAAAGTGATTTATATATTAATGAAATATATATTAAGCACTTTACCATCACTTATTTTCTTCTTCTCAGTTTGTTGTTTGTCTTTTGACTTTATTTTTTGCTTGCAGAAATGTTTACTTTTAGGTCACATCTTGTTTTTCTGTAGTTTCTGGGTTTCTAGACTATTGTGCTTAGAAATGCCTTTCCTACTCCAGAATTTCAAAGTTATTCCATGTTTTCTTCTAGTACTTCTAGTTTCATTCTTTACAATTGTAATATATTTAATATATATATATATAATAGTTTAAAGAACTACTATAGATACAGAAACTCAGTAAAAAACTACATTAGCTATCTACACTTGGATAACATAGCCTTAGAATAGATGTGGAAATGGTCTTCTCTAAAGTAACCGTCAGTCACAGATTGTCTAGGACCATCCCAATTTTAAGGATGCAGTACAGTTGTCCTCAGATTATTGAAATATAACAGGAATTTCTACATTGACATCTACATTATACAGACTGACTTTTTAAACTATTAGAGGTACAGAAATCTTTTATCAAAACATGCATTTAATTCAGCTTAAAAAAGGGGTCAATGTGTTTAATTACCCTTTTTCTCCCATCAAAATTGCTTAAAGTGAGAAAATCGTGTCTCTAGCTTCCACTTCCAATGTGAAATATAACCATCAGTAAGCTTCTTCAGTTAGGCTAGCTTCTACTGCACCACCTACTATTCGTCTAATGAATATTAGACGATAGAACATACAAGCCATTTATTTGAAATAAAAGCAACAGAAACCCAGAGCAGACTTAAGTAGCCCATATAAAGAAATCTTATGACTAGAGAATTGAACAAATACAATAAGAAATCAAATGGAAATGTTTTAGAGAAAAAATACCTGTAACATGAGTCCTTAATACACTCAGTGAAGATAGAGAAATGAAATCTATAGACATTCTCCTGGAATTTTGACTGCTTTAATGAAACCTTAATAATGACAGCTGAGTAATAGTTCTTTCCCTCTGTGAACTGGTCAGACAGGATGGAAAAGAATGATGTCTGTGGATGATCAACCCCACAATAAAGCTAATGCTTGTATCCCTGGAAAAGCAAAAGTATATTCTTTGGGCATTAAATTAAATGTTAGATACCATCTGAACATCATCAAAGGAACTAGCACTGAAACTGTTGTATCCCTTTGCTCTCTTTTCAGATAGGGCAGCCCTGTTTGATTCGTTTATTCCTGGGGTTGTCATATCATGGCTGATAATGTTGCAGACAGAAACCAGACTGAGAAACTCCTAAGAAGAGTACAAGAACTGGAGCATGAGGTGCAAAGACTTAAAAAGGAACAGGCCAAAAATAAGGAGGACTCAAACATTAGAGAAAATTCAGGTGCTGGAAAAACTAAGCGTGCATTTGATTTCAGTGCTCATGGCCGAAGACATGTAGCCCTAAGAATAGCCTATATGGGCTGGGGATACCAGGGCTTTGCTAGTCAGGAAAACACAAATAATACCATTGAAGAGAAACTGTTTGAGGCTCTAACCAAGACTCGACTAGTAGAAAGCAGACAGACATCCAACTATCACCGATGTGGGAGAACAGACAAAGGAGTTAGTGCCTTTGGACAGGTAAGGGCCAATACACTGTTTCTCCAAGCAATACCAGGATATTCTAGGTATACACACTGAGTACTGAGAATATTTGTCTCTCTGAAACGCAGTATCTTTCTTTTACTCCACAGGTGATTTCACTTGACCTTCGCTCTCAGTTTCCAAGGGGCAGGGATTCTGAGGACTTTAATGTAAAAGAGGAAGCTGCTGAAGAGATACGTTATACCCACATTCTCAATCGGGTGCTCCCTCCAGACATCCGTATATTGGCCTGGGCCCCTGTAGAACCGAGCTTCAGTGCTAGGTTCAGCTGTCTTGAGCGGACTTACCGCTATTTTTTCCCTCGTGCTGATTTAGATATTGTAACCATGGATTATGCAGCTCAGAAGTATGTTGGTACCCATGATTTCAGGAACTTGTGTAAAATGGATGTAGCCAATGGCGTAATTAATTTTCAAAGGACTATTCTGTCTGCTCAAGTACAGCTAGTGGGCCAGAGCCCAGGTGAGGAGAGATGGCAAGTACCTTTTCAGTTATGTCAATTTGAAGTGACTGGCCAGGCATTCCTTTATCATCAAGTCCGATGTATGATGGCTATTCTCTTTCTGATTGGCCAAGGAATGGAGAAGCCAGAGATTATTGATGAACTGCTGAATATAGAGAAAAATCCTCAGAAGCCTCAGTATAGGTGAGTTAAAAAATAAATGGTGCATGCCTGTAGTCCCAGCTGCTCAGGAGGCTGAGGCACAAGAACTGCTTGAACCTGGTGGCAGAGGTTGTAGTAAGCTGAGATCGGGCCACTGCACTCTGTCTCAAAAAAAAAAAAAAAAAAATAGCATATCCTTCTCTCCCCCATGATTATCTAAATAATTAAGTCACTGATTTTGCCTTCATGAAGCTTTTAATCTGAACTGTAGAATGTTATGAACATGTAAGAGGGAGTAGTATCTTCTACTTTCCTCTCATTGTTCTATCCCATGGAGTAAAGAGGCAGGTGTTTTGGCCAGGCTCCTTAAGTAAAGGACATTCATTTCTACATCTTTGTTGTTTCTGAATTTATGTTAAGATGTATTATTGTTAGGATGTGGTAAAACTGAAACGTGAATAAGCTATTCGTATTAAATCTGGCTGGTTTTCTATCACTGAGTAGTCATCCTATTGTACTTTTGAATTTTTCCTAATTTCCTATTTCTGAAATGGTAGGAAAGAAAGAATAGTTAAGTTTTTTCTTTTGAGAACAGGCTGAGATAGATACCAATAATTTTACTCATACTGAGCAAAACTGCAATGACATTAACAAATCTGGAAAAAATATCAGCTATTTTTAAATTTTATAGCAGCATGATAGAGCCATGTCAACTCACTTATAGCTGTCTTGTTAGCACTGACATTTACCTAATATAGATCAGGTTCATCTATGATTTGTTGCATTTTTCACTGCTGTAATAAAGTTGTTCAAGGTTGGGGATGGTGGGATATTTTCTTATCTATTAGATAGTCAATTATTAACATCAACTGTGGCCCCCTACCCGGCTCCCTTAACCCAGCTAACTCTTAGTTTTTAAGGAACTGTTAGATGGCTGAGATGTATTCTCAAACTCCTTCTTTTCTCTTTTTCTCTAGTATGGCTGTAGAATTTCCTCTAGTCTTATATGACTGTAAGTTTGAAAATGTCAAGTGGATTTATGACCAGGAGGCTCAGGAGTTCAATATTACCCATCTACAACAACTATGGGCTAATCATGCTGTCAAAACTCACATGTTGTATAGTATGCTACAAGGACTGGACTCTGTTGCAATACCATGTGGAAGAGAACCAAAGATGGATGGAATGACAGAATGGAGAAATGTTAAGCCCTCTGTCATAAAGCAGACCAGTGCTTTTGTAGAAGGAGTGAAGATGCGCACATATAAGCCCCTCATGGACCGTCCTAAATGCCAAGGATTAGAATCCCGGATCCAGCATTTTGTACGTAGGGGACGGATTGAGCACCCACTTTTATTCCATGAGGAAGAAACAAAAGCCAAAAGGGACTGTAATGACACACTAGAGGAAGAGAATACTAATTTGGAGACACCAACGAAGAGGATCTGTGTGGACCCCGAAAGTAAAAGCATCATTTAACCACAGACAATTTGCCAGGATCTAGGAACCACCTAATGGTAGGTGGACAGAAAAGGAAAACAAGATTTACTTGCAAGTACTAGTAATTCAGATTATCAGCTCTTAAAAAAAAACGCAAAGACTAAAGCCCTATTAAGGAAGTTACTGCTTTAATAAGAAAGTTCAAATATTCTCTTATCCCTGTCCAAAAGGATTAAGAGATTAAAGAAGCAAAAAGCAGTTGTAAATGGAGATGTGTTTATGTACACCTGGAAACCTGTGCCTTGTATTCAAATTCATTAAAGCCTAATCCTGCAAGTATCTAATTAGTTGTTTTTTTTCCCCCCAAAGCAGATGAGATTCACTACTCATCTGAGTTTTCATAAAGTGTTTCTCCTGAGTATCTTATTTTCTAAGATAGAATTTAAGAAAATTCAGTTAATTAAAGATTGGATAAATTGGTCTAATGCCAGGCATGAAGTTACCTTCCTGGAAGTTAACAAACTGAATAAAGCATAGTACCTTATCTTACAAAGCACATAAGTCTAGTGCAGAGGTTGGTAAATGTTTTCTGTGAAGGATTAAAGAGTAAATGTTTTAGGCTCTGTGAGCCACAAATGGCCTCTATTGGGTACATATTTTTACAATCCTTTACAAATGTAAAAAGCAGTCTTAGTTCATGGACCATGATGTTTGCCAAGGCCTGGGCTGGTGGTTATAGGCAAGTTCTTATAGAGGAGATATTAAAGCTAAATCTTGCAGAACAAGTGGGAACCAGTTAAAGTAAAGATAAAGAACCACGTTAAGGATGTCTAAGGCAGAAGACACAGTTTGTGTAAAGGATTACAGAGGACGGCATATGCATTCAGGCCAACTGTGAATCCCTTGGTATGGCTTGAGAGTGACAAGAACATAGTTTAAAAAGGTAAGCAAAAGTCACATTTGTAGAGCAAAGGCATTCTTTAAGAAGCTTAGATTTTATTTTGCAGGACCACTGAAAAAATCTACCTGCCCTATAGAATTGCGTGGCAAAAATATTGCTCTAGGTATTCTACGGATGGGAAGAGGGCAAGATTGGAGGCACTGTGACCAACTGGGAGGCAACAGATGATGACAGTGGCCTAGAAGATATTCCTAGGCAAATGGAGAGAAGTAGATGAACTTAAGAAACAACAGGATTCAGTGAATAGATACGCTGTTCAAAAGTAGGGAGGCTTTCTAGATAACTCCTTTTTCAGATGTGAGAAACATGAGTGGCTGGTAGTACCACACACTGAGATAGGATAATGAGATGGGGCTTTGCTTGTTCTCAAACCAAAGTTAATAAGTAACCCTCAAAATATTACTTGTGAACGCCAGAATTTATTCAAAAGAACTCAAAGTTATCTTAAATACATTATCCTTTGTAACCATAAAAATAATAAACAACAAAGTTTGAACTCAGACCTCCCTCAATAGTAATTTTCATTACTGCAGTGAGTGTTATCCACGTTTAGAATTTGTCCAAATGCTACCTCAGAGAATGAGTAATTTTGCAAACTCACATTTGAAGTCTTCTAGTTTGTTCCATCTGTGATGACTGTCTTGACTTATGGTAACTACCAAAAATGCAGTCACTGAATTCTTACTCTTCTAGATTGGATAATATAATCGAGACAACCTTGAAAGGTTCTTTTTGTTTGTTTGTTTTTAGACAGTCTCACTCTGTCACCTGGGCTGGAGTGCAGTGGCACAATTTTGGCTCACTGCAACCTCCACAGGTTCAAGCGATTCTCCTGCCTCAGCCTCCTAAGTTGCTGGGATTACAGGCGCCCACCACTATGCTCAGCTAAGTTTTTGTATTTTTAGTAGAGACAGGGTTTCACCATGTTGGCCAGGCTGGTCTCGAACTCCTGACCGCATGATTCGCCCACCTTGGTCTCCCAAAGAGTTGGGATTACAGGCGTGAGCCACTGTGCCCAGCCAAAAATATTTTACTTAAGTCTCAGACCCTGATCCTCTAATTTATAATTCTCCCATGTTTATGAGATCCAAAGTTTTACTTACCAACCAACAATGAGTTTTTTCCTACCCATGTTCAAGACTCCAGGTCTACAAATGTTTTCTATCCTCCAGCTGATAGTGCAAATAACACATGGGACAATTAAAAACAGTACTAATATATATAAATCATAAACGAATGCTGCATAATTGTTACAGAAGCCCAGCAGGGGGTAGACCACAGAATAAGACTTCACTGAAAGAGTTCCAAATTTAGAAAGTAAAATAGCATACAAAAGGTGAGGTGAACTTGTAGTACTGAAAAGTACATTATAGTAGCTTTTATATCCTAGCAGAGAGGGAACCAGAAAATATCCCCATTTTAGAGATGGGGAAATAGTGGTACAAAATTACTTAAGATTTATTCAAAATTGCCCATTGTATCATCCAAGTCTGGATTTGAATCATTATCACCTAGTCTATCAACACTTCACTATGCCCTGAGTATTCTTAAAATATAATTACTTTGTCCTTTAATTTTGATTTAAAGATCCTCTTTTTCACGTAATCGATGAGCCTGGTGGAATAATGGAAGTGCAAACCAAAGTTTTTTTTTTTTTTTTTTTTTTTTTTTTTTTGTCAATTTCTTACCTTGTTTCAATGTGCTTTGATTGGTATTTGCATTCAAGTTAAAAAAAAAAAAACCTAGAAAAGAAGAATACAGTTTAAAAAAATTAACTCTAAAGCAGTGATACATGGAACAAAAAGCACTAACCAAAAGTCATTGTTAGGAGACTGTGTAGAAACAAAGGAATCAGAGGATCAGGGTCTTAAATCTTAAGTAAAATCCGTTCAAGTTTGGCTAGATTATACTATCCAATCTAGAAGAGTAAGAATGTAGTGACTACATTTTTGGTAGTTGCTATAGAAAAAGTAAAGACAGTGATCACAGGTGTAACAAATGAGAAGCCCCCAAATGCAACTTCGCAAAATTACTTGTTCTCTTAGGTAGCATTTGTACAAATTCCAGTCTCTGACCTATGGTAGGGAATTAATAAATGTTAGAAGAAAGGAACTATTTCAATAGGTTGTGAAATTTAAATGATACTTTTTATATATATCTATACATGAATAACAATTTGAGAGACTCTGGGCCAGGAAGATATTTGGCAGTAAAGCCAAGAGTTTTTTTTTTTTTTTTTCTAAATGGCATGTGTCCTCCTATACAGTGATTAATGTATTATTTCCTCTGCATTTAAACTGTGTCATGCTCCTTTTTCCTTTAACCTATGAAGATGATGTTTCCAAACAGTAAATAAAATACAAACTTTAATAAGGTCCACAGGTAATATAATATAAAAGTAATATATTACTTTTATAATATAATATAAAATTCTAATATAAAAGACCGAACAATCCTTTCTCTTTAGAGGAACTTTCACATAAAAGCTAGAGCAACTTGTAAACACAGACAAAAATGACCAAAATATCTAACAATATCTTCTCTTCAAAAATCTTAGTGACTCAGAGTCCTAGGTTTAGCTAGTTAGAATCAAAAGAATTTCAAGGATAGAAGGGCAAAGTCTTTAAATTGAGATAAAGGGTCTGGGTCAGTAGCCAGACTCTGACAGTTACAGGGAGACTATTGCAGAGTTATAACAAATTTCTCTACCTCTGGGGAGATAAGCAAGCAGCTTAAAGAATCATAGTATTAAAAGAAAAAAACATCGTACCGCAAAGGCAAACAATACCATAACAAAGACAAAAGAGACAACAAACTGGGAAAAATACTTTTAACAGGTTTAAAAATCAGTAATTTGGCTGGGCGTGGTGGCTCAAACCTGTAATCCCAGCACTTTGGGAGGTTGAGGCAGGCAGATCAGCAGGTCAGGGGTTTGAGACCAGCCTGACTAACATGGTGAAACCTGGTCTCTACTTAAAAATACAAAAATTAGCCGGGTGTGGTGGTGCACACCTGTAATCCCAGCTACTTGGGAGGCTGAGGCAGGAGAATTGCTTGAATCTGGGAGGTAGAGGTTGCGGTAAGTGGAGAGAGTGCCATTGCACTCCAGCTTGGGTGACAGAGACTCCATTTCAAAAAAAAAAAATCAGTAATTTGAATTGCTTAGAAATCTATTAAAGGGTACACATATCAATAAGATAAGGGAGAAAAGACAGATGCTTTACCAAAGAAATAATAAACAGTCTGGGTGCAGTGGCTCATGCCTGTAATTCCAACACTTTGGAGGCTGAGGTGGGAGGATTGCTTGAGGCCAAGAGTTCAAGGCCAGGCTGTTTGACAAAGCAAGATCCCCATTTCTTAAAAAAAAAAGAAAAGGAAAAAGAAAAAGATTAGCTAGGCATGGTGGGATAGGCCGTAGTCTCAGTACTATGGAGGCTGAAGCAGGAGGACCGCTTGAGCCCTGGAATTCGAGGCTGCAGTAAGCTATGATCTGGTCACTGCATTCCAGCCTGGGTGACAAAGCTAAGATTTGTTTCTAAACAACAACAAAAATTAATAAACAGAAAACAGGTTCAATCTCAATAAGGTGCATAAAAGCATTAAGATATCATTTTAGAAGATTTTTCAATACCCAGTGCTGGTGAGTGTGTGAAGAAATAAAAACAATTACCTTTATTATGCCCTGTGTGTTGGGGATAATCCGTTTTTCTAGAGGGCAGTTTGGCATTATTATTTTTCGATACATAGTCTCTCTCTGTCGCCCAGGCTGGAGTGCAGTGGCCTAATCTTGGCTCACTGCAACCTCCGCCTCGCGGGTTGAAGCGATTCTCCTGCCTCAGCCTCCCGAGTAGCTGGGATCACCGGCGCTGGCCACCACGCCCGGCTAATTTGTTTTTTTAATCTTTAGTAGAGATGGAGTTTCACCATGCTGGCCAGATTGGTTTCAAAATCCTGATCTCAAGTGATCGGCCCGCCTCAGCTTCCCAAAGTGCTGGGATTACAGGGGTGAGCCACCGTGCCTGGCCCAGTGTGGCATTATGAATCAGAATTTAAACTGTACCACAACTTCTAAGTCATAGTCCACTTCCAGGAGTTTATTCCAAGGACATAAATTGGACAAGAATGCAAACATATATACATACAGTGATCACTACCATACTGTTTTATAATTTTATGAAGAGACTGGAAACAAATGTACATTAGTAGGGGTCTGGTTAAAGAATATGTGATACAATAATACAGCCATAGCAAGAAACGCCATGCATCCATTAAAAATGGTAATGCATATCGACACTGAGAGAAATGTATTCCCGATTTATTACTGAGTCAATAATGCACAATCTCCTTAATTTACGTTCTTTTAAATTAACATTATTATGTTCATAAAATTTAAAAGACATTTTATAAGGAAATCATGTAAATATAAGGTATATATTCATTATGAATATATCTGAAGTAAACCTAAATGTGAACAGTGTTTTATTTGATGGTTATCTGTGGCTGCTGGAATTTCGAGTATTTTCTTTTTTCTTTATCCGTACTAAATGTTGCTCGGATTTCTAAAAACATGTACATATTATGTTTGCATTCTTGTCCTATTTATGTCCTTGGAATAAATCCCTGGAAGTGGATTATGACTTAGAAATTATGGTACAATTTGAATTCTGATTCATAATGCCAAACTGCCGTCTAGAAAAATGGATTATCCCCAACACACAGGGCAGAGGGTGCTTCCTTTCATTTCTTTACCTCTCACCAGCACTGGGTACTGAAAAATCTTACCAATCTAAAACGATATCTTAATGTTGCTCTTTGCATGCTTAGTGAGACTTCATACTTTTTAGAATAAAAAAAGGTTTACTTCCATTTCAGGGTGGGCAAACACCGTGCACAGTTCCATCCGGCAGTCCACGAAAGGTGCAGCCAGAAGGCGAGAAGACACGCTCCGCCTCTCAACGGCAAAGCTCGCAGTAGCCCCGCCTGGCCGCGGGCGTGGCTGGGACCCAGGTCGCCAGCGGCCTCCGGGACTGCGCTCCCGCCCCGGGGCCGTCCCTGGCCTCCGCCTGGTCCCACCGGCGCGGCCCAGGAGCTCAGCGCGACCACCGGCGTAAAGGCGGCGGCAGCGGCGGCTGGCGCACTCCGTGACCTCCAGGGACCGCGGCCTGTCGCGCACTGGAAACAGGGAGGGAAGCTACCACTCTGCACCGTCGGGACAGTGGGAAAGGAGCGAGGGCTCCTGCGGCAGCGGGCCCGCAGCCCACGTCCCCAGGTCCCGCCGCTTCCGACCTTCATCCGGCTTACCCGCGTCGCCGAAGCCCGCTCTCCGCACCGCGTCCTGCCAGTCGCCAGCGGAGCACGCAGGTTTCGTTAGCGTTTCCGAAGTTTGCGCAGGGGCACTGCCAGCCCACGCGCCGAACCTGCTGTTAACGGTCGGCCGTTGAGCTTTAAATCCCAAGAGCGAAACAGCGCCCTTGGTCCCGCCCACCTTCCCTCTTATTGGTCCTTACGGCAAACGTCCTCCAAGTTTGCATCCTGATTGGCGCACATTTTCTCTTGGCCTTCTCCACCGGCGGGAGAGTGCCCGGGATTTCCAGTGCGTCCTTAAAAATGTCAGCGCCCGCCTCGCTGAGGCGCGCAAGCAGAGGTCGTTGTTGCGACGCCTCTGGTACACTAAGTCTAGAGGGGAGGTTAGGTCCTTGACGAGAAACCTTGGCTAACGGCGACGTAGCTGGCTTTTGGGAGAGGCCTCCTAAAGTTCTGCCGCCTCGCTGGAATCAGCCTCCGCTCATAAACTCCTGGCTGCTGAGGGACGGATGGTGCCGGGAGGGGAAGGTGCTCAGGGCACGGTTCGAACAGGGCACAGGCAAGTCGGCCTGTGCGCTCTAGACCGGGCCTGACGGAGTGGCTTCTGATGAAACCTGGGCGCACCGAGCACCTCCTTTCCTCTGCATGGTGTGCAGGGCTCTGGTGCTACCCTTAGCTGCGTCTCCACAGCTCCTCCCACATTTCTCTAACTGTGCTGCAGCCGCCGACTGCCTTGCTCCAACATGCTCTCGCTGTTTTCTTTTGGAATGTGCCCATCTCCTTCACATGGTATTACTCTAAACGTTTTTTTTTTTTTTTTTTTTTTTTTTTTTAGACGGGGTTTCGCTCTTGTCGCCCAGGCTGGAGTGTGGTGGTGTGATGGCTCACTGCAACCTGCTGCTCCCGGGTTCAAGCCATTCTGCTTCAGCCTCCCGAGTAGCTGGGACTACGGGCACGCACCACCACGCCCAGCTAATTTTGTATTTTTAGTAGAGATGCGATTTCATTACGTTGGCCATTCTTCCCTTGCCACCCCGCCTCCCAAAGTGCTGGGATTACAGGCATGAGCCACCGCGTCCGGCCACTATTTTTTTTTTTTTTTTTTTTTTTTTTTTTTTTTTTTTTACTTGGCGTTTTAACTTTTTATTTTTTGCATCTCTACCTTTTTTTTTTTTTTTTTTTTTTTTAATTAAAAAGAGGTCTAGTACTTGGGGATTGCTGAGGATGAGATCTGGAAAAGCAAGAGGAGAGGACCCCAGAGTTCAGTATTCTAGTCGCTACCAAACAAACATCTCAACTGGTCCTGAGTCCTGAGCATTGCGTTTTCCACCTTAAACAACTAGCAGGTGCTAGTTGTCAAGTTCAATTTAAACCGTTTCTTAAATCCAGGATTCAGTGGAAGAGGAGAAATGTTTAATCCGTTTCCTCAAACACTTGTATTATCTCTTACGCTTCCTTCCCCCTTTACCTCAGGGCCTTTGTGCTACCTCTAAGGCACTTTTATTTTGTAGGAGGATGAAAATGGAATGAACAAAGGAGGGAAGATGACAGAAGTAGGTTGCCGAGATTTGAGTGACTGCCCCTACATCTGGAGTATCATAACGTTAACTCTTTTAGTGCAGCAGTCCCTAACCTTTTTGGCACTACAGACAGTTTCATGGGAGACAGTTTTTCCATGGCTCAGAGAGGGGGTATGATTCTGTGATGATTCAAGCAGATTACATTTATTGTGCACTTTGTATTATTACATTGTAACATAATGAAATAATTATGCAATTATTTAGAATCTGTGAGAGTTCTGAGCTTGTTTTTCTACAACTAGACGGTCCCATCTGGGGGTGATGGGAGACAGTGACAGATCATCAGGCATTAGATTCTCATAGGCATGCAATCTAGATCCCTGGCTTGCGCAGTTCACAATAGGGTTTGCACTTCTGTGACACTCTAATGCACCTGTTCATCTGACAGAAGGCAGAGCTCAGGCGGTAATGCAAAATGGGAAATGGCTGTTAAAACGCATGAAGCTCCTGCTATTCACCACTTGCTGCACAGCCTGGTTCCTAGCTACTCGTCTGTGCCCTGGGGGTTGGGGACCTTTGCTTTAGTGCACATACTGTTTTCTTAGGAGCAAATATAGTATGCTCAGGTTTTATCTTACACCTGCATGACTTTTTCTTTGGCTTTGAATCTCCAATCTGACTTAAAAACCATAGAGTAGATGGAATCATTTTTCTTCCAGCTTGGACCATCAGCATACTCCTTATGGATGCCCCAATTAGTTTCTTTTTCTTTTCTTTTCTTTTCTTTTCTTTTCTTTTCTTTCTTTCTTTCTTTCTCTTTCTTTCTTTCTTTTTTTTTTTTTTTTTTTTTTTTGAGACAGGGAGTCTCACTCTGTAGCCTAGTCTGGGGTGCAGCGGCATGATCTTGGCTCACTGAAACCTCCATTTTCCAGATTCAAGGGATTTTCATGCCTCAGCTGCCTCAGCCTCCTGAGTAGTGAGGACTACAGGCGTGTGCCACCACATCCAGATAATTTTTGTATGTTTAGTAGAGATGGGGTTTCATCATGTTGGCCAGGCTGGTCTCAAACTCCTGACCTCAAGTTATCAACCAGCCTTGGCTTCCTGAAGTGCTAGTATTACTGGCATGAGCCACCACACACAGCTCCAATTAGTTTCTTGTTATCCTTTATATTAAATTTTGATCTTTGAAAACCTTTAATAGATAGCAACTTGAAGGATCTGTCTACTCCTGCATATTTCATATTTCAAGTGGTATCTTGTGTTCTACTCAACCCTGTTTTTTTTTTTTTTTTGTGGATTACTTAGTTCTCCAATTTTGCTTAGATTTCATTTAATAATGCCCATGGTTCCCAGAAATCTACTGAACCCAGGTCAAACCTTATACAATAAACTTTATAGAAGAAAATCCTACTCTGCAAACCAAATCTCATCTTAAAAATGTTATGGAAAATTTCAAACAAATTTAAAAAAAAATACATAACGAAGTCCAGTGAGCTCAATACCCAGCTTCAGCAATGATGATGATGATTATTGCTTATGACCAGTCTTGTTGCTTTAGTATCACTAACCACTTACCTTGTCTTGTATTATTTTGAAGCAAATACCAGGTATCTGAAATCTAAATATTTCAGTATGATTTCTGAAAAATTAAAGGATCTTTTAAAAGCATAACCATAATACTATTATCACACCTAAAGTACTTAATATATTTCTGGATATAAAATATCCAGAATTCAATTTTCTATTTGTCTTTTCAAAAAATTATTTATTTATTTTTAGTTTGCTTACCTGGATCAGGATCCAGTCAAATCCAGATGTTATGATATATCCTTTAAGTTTATTTTATTCTTTAAAGTCATTCTTTTTTTTTTTTTCCTTACTATTTATTCTTACTATTTATTTGTTGACGGAACCGGGTTATTGGTCCTGTACAAGATCCCATAATCTGGATTTTGCTGATTATATCTAAGCAGTGTAGTTTAACATGGCTTCCTTACCTTTTGATTGCAACACAGCTCTCTTCAATATGCTTTCCCTAATTAAGTATTGTTGGTTTATCAACCTGTCAACTTCTTTATGAATTCTAATACTGCTTTCAACTGGTTATATCATTATGCTTAAGTTAACCGCTGATTTTTTTTTTTTTTTAGATGGACTCTCGCTCTTGTTGCCCAGGCTGAAGTACAATGGTGCAATCTCTGCTCACTGCAGCCTCTGCCTCCCAAGTTCCAGCAATTCTCCCGCCTCAGCCTCCTGAGTAGCTGGGATTACAGGCATGCGCCACCACACCTGGCTAATTTTTGTATCTTTAATAGAGAGATGGAGTTTCACTATTTGGCCAGGCTGGTCTCAAACTCCTGACCTCAGGTGATCTGCCCGCCTCAGCCTCCCACTGTGCCCAGCCAAGTTAATCACTCCTTTATGATATCTTTGCTTACCTCACCTCTTTGCTGACATTTTCAAACAAACTTCTTCAACTGTAGCCCTCCCTTAATCTGACTAATTACAACCTGTCTAATATTTTCAATGCTTCTCTGTTTAAGTCTTCTCAGTGTTGGAGGCAGAATAATAAAGAATAACAAAATGAAAATAAGCAGCTTTCCCTTAACATTGTTGCTCCCTTCTGTCAGCCTCTTGTCTATCCTCTCTCCCCCATTTTCTTTGCTCAGTTGCTCCTTAAGTCCCTGTATTCTGGATTCTACCCTCATCAATATACTCAAACTGTACTTTCAGAGGTCATCATTGATCTTGATAGCTCCAATTGTCTTGCTCAGTCCTCATTCTTTTTTGCTTCTTAAAAGTATTTGGTAGTCAATTCTGCAAATATTTAATGAACACCCATGGTATGCACTGTGCTATGTCTTGGTGATTCAATAGTGAATAAAAAGATACAATTTCTGCTTTTGGTCTGATAGGAGAAATTGACATCGATCAAACAATCACAAATTACAGTCATCCCTCAGTATAATCTGGGTATTGGTTTCAGGGTCCCTGCATATACCAAAAATCCATGCATACTTAAATCCTAAAGTTAGACCTGCAGAACTTACTTATGTGAAGAGTTGGAGCCAGGCACGGTGGCTCATGCCTGTAATCCCAGCCCTTTGGGAGGCTAAGGTCGGTGGATCATCTGAGGTCAGGAGTTCGAGACCAGCCTGACCAACACGGAGAAACTGCGTCTCTACTAAAAAACAAAACAAAACAAAACAAAACAAACCAATTAGCTGAGCATGGTGGTGCATGCCTGTAAATTGCAACCACTCAGGAGGCTGAGGCAGGAGAATTGCTTGAACCTGGGAGGCAAAGGTTGCAGTGAGCACACCATTTCACTCCAGACTGGGCAACGAGAGCAAAACTTAGTCTCAAAAGAAAAAAAAAAAGGAGAAAAAGAAAAGTTGGCTCTCTTTTACCTGGATTTCACATCCCTTAAATACTGTCTTTTTCATTTCCTATTGTTGAAAATAATTCACGTATAAGTGAATCTGTGAAGTTCAAACTTGTGTTGTTCAAGGGACAACTGTATTATAAAATTATAGTTGTGTTCAATGCAACGGGGAGGCAAATGGTTCAATGAGAACATCTAATAATAGGGAGATTTGGCATAGTGTCACTGAACCAAGAATTGAAGGATAAGTAGGTGAAAGGAAGTGGAGGGAAGTGATGAGGGTGAAAAGGGTTTGCTAGGTAGTGGGAAAAGCATATTCAAAGGTTTATGAGGATGGAAGATTCAAGAAACTGAAAGTCCAGCAAAGAAAATAATGGTAGAGGTGAGACTGAGAGATAGGCAAGGGTCAAATCATACAAGTCCTGTAGGCCAAGGCAAGAGATTTGACAGTTACCCTAAGAGCTGTAGAAACTCAAGTGTTTCAAGCAGGGTTGGGGCATGTTATGCAACATATTCAGATATGCATTTGAAATTATTTGTTGACTGCACTGAGGAGAATGGATTTGCAGAGGTCAAGATTATATGTGATGTCTAAGTGAGAGATAGTTGCATTATTTCAGGTGGAAGACTGTGGTAGCTTAGGCTAGGAAGATAATAGCCAGAGATTACAAGAAAGGGACAGAGATAGTTGCTAAAACTCATGATGACTTGAAATGAATTGACTGGGGTTGGGATGTGAAAGAGAGGCAGGTCATGGATTATTCATAGGATT